ATGAGGGCAACAAATGTATAGATGTGCTTTACACAATTGATCTATGTATTGTGACGAATTGTATGAGCCCCAATAAATTGATTAAAAAAAATAAATAAATAAATAAAAAATAAATAAATAAACTGTTAAAATGTTCTTCCACATACAATTTTCAAAGAACAATAAATTCCTCATATCTCCAAAGTAACTATGTGTGTGTATATTAGGGTAAGTTAAAAGTATTGCTACTAGGGCTCTAGTTACTACTACATATATGCAGGAAGTTATTCCAAATAAAATTCATTTAAACATGTCTCATTCTAACAGTGGGTGGATACAGACAAGTGCACTGAGTAATGCACATGTGTAAAGGTGCCGTAAAAAAAAATAATAATCAGGGAATCCAGGGAGGATGATCCCTTCAGGATCAGTGGTGTGAGGGGTAATACTGGGAGGGTAGATAGAGGGTGGCTTGGAAAGGGGGAACCGATTAAAAGGATCTACATGTAACCTCCTCCCTGAGGGACGGACAACAGAAAGTGGGTGAAGGGAGCCATCGGACAGTGTAAGATATGACAAAATAATAATTTATAAATTATCAAGGGTTCATAAGGGAGTGGGGAGAGGGGACGGAGGGGAAAAATAAGCTGATGCCAGGGTAGAGAGTAAATGTTTTGAGAACGATGAGGGTAACGAATGTACAAATGTACTTTACATGATTGATGTTTGTATGGATGGTGATAAGAGTTGTATGAGCCCCTAATAAAATGATTTAAAAAATAATAATCAAAATGTGGCTTCCAAGGCAATCTGTTGGGCCACGTTAAATTTAAAGCAAAGATGGCAGCCATTCAGATGACTGTATCAACTGATGTTTGGGATTTCAAAGAGGCAATCTTGATAGATTTCCTCACAGGACCCAGGGAAATCCTAGACGTATTTGGAAAGTTTTAAGAAAATTGACAACTGCACTGGTGAGAAAAAGGACAAGAAATTTGTGCCAAGTGTTTCTTTGACATCGTACACCTCCTCATTCTTCAAGGGCAGCTGGGGCTATTTTGTTGAGTATTTTGTTGCTCAATTTGACCTCATGCCCCCTAAACCCTTGATTTTGTCTCTTCAAACTTCTTTTTGCTTCCAACACACAAAGAACATTTAAGGGGAAAATGACTTGATTCCCTTCAGGATGCCAAAACTGCGGCAGCTTTGACTTGGTGTAAATTAAAAGCAAAGAATCCTTTGAGGTAGTGCTAGAGAGAAGGCAACACCTTCAGAAGTGTATTGACCTAGATGGAAAAATATGTTGAAAACAATAGCTTCACATTTTGATTATTTTTGTTTAATAAAGGTTTCTACCATTTGTAACAATATTTTTGGACTTACTCTCTCACGCGTGTGTACACACATAAGCATTTAAAAAATTTCTTTGAGATATATCAACCATAAATGTATGAATTTTGAGCTTGTACTTAATTATAGCCTTACTATAAGAACAATTTGTTTTTATGATGTGGCCTTAGATACCTGCCCTCACGAACAGATCACTGAAGATATGGGTGCTATAGCAAAAGTATGGTGAAGAAATCAGATGGTGTCCAACTATCGGAATAGCATCTTAAACAGTTGTCTTACAACAAGTAGCCACCCCAGTGAGGCGTCAATTAAGTTCACATGAAGAAGCACACCAGCCTGTGCGATCCAAGCATTATATGTAATAAAATCTAAGACTAGAGAAGGGAAAAGTACCAGAGCTTAAGTTTTGAGCACCTGGTTTGTCAAAGGTTATGGATAACAGTAGATGTGGCTTAAGCCTCCAGTGAATCCCCTCTGACCATAGACCAGGGATGTGAATATCCTTGCTATAGGACAGTGAGTGTGTTGGAAAGTGAATTACTGCAGATGTATATAGGTAAGAATTTAGGACCTTATAATTTAATTTCCCTTTTGACCCATTTTAAATTTGTTCTAGTTTTTGATATTTCCTGCTTTCTTTTTAATGGAAGTTTCTATTTGGTTATTGTTAGACTTTTCATTTTTGTTTCTTTTTTTAATGTTTTTCAGTATATGAAATCCAGGATAGGTAAATCTATAGACAGTAACTAGATTAATAGTTTCTTAGGGCTATAGCAGGGGAGGTTGGCGGAAATGAACTCAACAATAACTACAAGAAGAAAATATAAAATTAAAAAGAAATATATAAAATTGATTGCAGTGCTGATTGTATTTTTAAAATATGATTGAACTATTGAATTGTATAATATGAATTATATGTCAATAAAACTATTTCAAAAAAAGAATTAAAAACATAACGGTGTAGAAAAAATTCCTTGAAAAAAGTCCATTGTCTTTTGAGTCCATATTTCCACAAACTTCTTAATTTTTCTCATATATACGAAGGGGTACTCCCAAAAAAACAAATTGTGTTGGGCAGAGCAGAGCTTTTGTAGTAAGCATTTTTCCTGCTAGGGGAGCATTGCGCAACTTGCTCTGAGATAGTGCACCCAGTGGCATTACCTGGGAAAGTTCTCTCTGGTCACAGTGAATTTTTTTGTAAAAGCAGTTTCGCTTGAACCTTGTTTTTTTGTGCTGGCCAATTTAAGAGAATAGCGTGCGGCTGTGAAATTTTGTTTCCTACTCTGGAAAAATGCCGTAGAAACTGATGTTAAACACAGCTTATAAAGATAGTGCTATGGGAAAAACTCAGGCATACACGTGGTTTTCTCATTTCAAAATGGGAAATGTCACTTGATGACAAACCTCATTCTGAACACCCATCAACTTCCTGAATGGAGGAAAATGTTGACTCATTGTGCATTTGCAGTTCATTCCACCAGGTCAGACTGTTACTCAAGCTTTCTAGTTAGAGGTTCTGAAAAGATTGCTTAACGCTGTGCAGCTAAAAAGGCCTGATTTGTGGCAGACGGGGGTGGGGGGTGGGGGGGTGATGAGTTTTGCCACCATGACAATGCACTTGGTCACACAACCAACTCATTGTGCTAGTTTTCAGCAAAAAACAGCATGCATTTCTTGCCCCACACACCTTATTCATTTGACCTTGCTCCATGCAACTTCATTTTGTTTCTGCAAATGCAGAGGGACATGAAAGGACAGCAATTTGATGAAGTAGAAGAGGTGAAGAAAAAAATGAGGGAGTTGCTGTCAGCTACCCAAACAGATGCGTTTGAAAAATGTTTCCCAGAATGGAACGGCAGATTTGACAAATGTATTAAGTGTAATGGAGAGTACTTTGAAGGTGATAAGGTTGTTTTGTAAAAAAAAAAATATCTTTGGGAAAAAAAATTCTGTTTTTTTTTGGGGGGTGTGTGTGGTATATGCAATATAAACTGTGTATGTATATTATAGTCATATAACCACTCTGAAAAACATACCAAAGAAATGAAGACCTAGAATATGTCTTAATACAGTTTAAGATTTTAGAGAACAGGAAGACCTCAGAGTTGAGCAAAAGCTACTACAAACCCCTAAACGACATTACTGAAAACTAGTGCCCTGTCTGCAAATAGCTATTAATGTAGGTTGGCCAAATTCACTAGTCACAGAATCTGGTTTAATTTGATGTTAGACGCTTGCATGTGAACAATAAGTCTGTTATCTAAGGTAGAGCAAATATACTTATGTGGCATGTTATCCTCCTGTCCAGTCTAAAGTTGAACACATCTTGCCAACAATCTGGGAAGATAAATTAAAACAGGCCATAGTCCATGACCAATTTCCTTACCATAGTTATTCTCTTTCCACTTTTATTATGCCATAAGTAGGTACAAAGCAGAGTTTGCCCCTTCAGTTAATGAGGTATTATGCAAAGTGCAGGGTTGACAGCCACACTTTTAAGTTACGGAAAATTCACTTACCCTTCGACAGAGCCTATCCTTAGGTGACTTTCCAACCTGAGATAGAAGACATAAAATAATTAAAAAAACAACAAAAACTTTACTTCTTAGTAACTGAAATAAAAAGGCATTACTGTTACCGAAAGTAAAAATTATGTTAACAAATGTTGCAGTTACACTTCCTCTCCACCCCCCATTATCATGATCCCAATTCTACCTTACAAATCTGGCTAGACCAGAGGATATACACTGGTACAGACAGAGAATCCAGGACAGATGATCCCTTTAGGAACAGTGGTGAAAGTGGTTATACGGGGAAGGTGGGGTAGAAAGAGGGAACCGATCACAAGGATCTACATACAACCGCCTCCCTGGGGGACAGACAACAGAAAAGTGGGTGAAGGGAGACATGAAAAACTAATAACAATTTATAAATTACTAAGGGCTCATGGGGGTGGGGGGAATAGGGAAGGAGGGGATAAATGAGGAGCTAATGCCAGAGGCTCAAGTAGAAAGGAAAATGCTTTGAGAATGATGATGGCAACAAATGTACAAATGTGCTTGACACAAATGATGTACGGATTTGTTAAGAGTTGCACGAGCCCCCAATGAATGATTTTTTAAAATAGAAAAGTTTTACTGAAAACATATTCTAGTCATTAATTTTATACAATACACTGGACTCACAAATAATCCTTTTCAAAAATAAATTATATCTTTTTTGAGCTAAACTATTAAAATCTTTTCTAAAAATCTGGTCCTTATTTTGCACAATCAAATAGTATTGCCTTATAATCCAGAACCACACTCAAGGTTACTAATCAAAGTAGCTTGTTGGTAACTACACACAACAGTTATAAAATGGTCAGAAAGAAGGAAAAGGTTAAAAGCAGTTGGGAGGAATATTCTTGCTCAGAAAACAAGTGGATTTCTTATTCTACATATGTCTATTTTATACAGAGAAGTAAGTTGGAAATAAACACCGTGCTCTTGAGGAACATCTCCTGGGCTAGATGAGACTCAAACGAGACGATCACAATGGCAGAAGAGACTAGGACCAAGACTTCACACATCACTGCATCCCACTTAGCCCACCCATTACCAATATATTTTACACTGTTGCTAGAGTCACCTTCTAAAATGCAAATCTGACCCAGTATCTTTAAGATCAAATAACGGTGTGGTGAAGTAAAATCTCTTAAAATGGCTCTTCTGTCTCTATGACACCCACCAAAGGATTGGATGAGACTGTGCAAATAGGACATTGGAAACACTTCAAGAGGGGATCACGTAGTCTCTTAGTTGCCATTCTTCTGGCTGTAAGAAAGCTATCTCAGAAACGGGAACAGAGAGAATTCCTGGGACCACCAAGGAAGAAATGCTACTGGTGGAGCAAAGAGGAAATCTCTGCCTGACGTAGCAGAGGCAGCAGCCCGCCACACCAGAGAACAGAGGCCAAGGCATGGGCATCAGAGATGACCCTGAGCAGTGGAAGACTTGAGACTGTGCGGAGAGCGAGAGCGGTGGGCAGGCTGCGTGCTCGCAGCAGAAGCCAAAGGACCATGTAGTGGAGTGGCTGAGGACCAGAGGGAGACTTGGCTGGTAGCTGAGGACCGGACCAATGACTCTATCTTAAAGGTTGTAAGACCCTGATGTGTGGTAAATTGGTAAGTCTCCTAATAAACTTCCTTGATCATGAGAAATGCATGTGAGTTCTGTGCAGCTTGCCAGGAGACTCTTGAGCCCAGCAGAGAAGTAGAAGTAGAGTGTCGCAGTGGGCAGAACAGCTGTCAGAATAGGGCGAAGATGGATGGAGGGTGGAGGCGTTATCTGACTTCTGGCACTAGGTTGCAGAGTTGGATTCTCCTCCCTTGGGTGGCCAAACGAGGTCAGATGTGGCCTCCATGGTGTTGACTCAACCACTTTGAACCCTATTACATATGCCATGTGAAGTTATTCGCATGTGTTACTAAAGAATCCCAGACCCATAGCCTGCTCGGGGACTCTTCAGGTTCATTTTCCCTCTCCCTTTGGGAGCCTGAGCTTCAACAAGACTAAACTACCTGCCATTCTCAGAATCCAAGAGGCTAACTCATGCCTCTACAATGGTTGTTGGAGTAAGTTTCTTCGTCTCACTTTTTATGTTCATAGGGACGCATGTTTCAAAAATTATATGCAGAAGCCATGCCCTTACCACCTGTTTACCTGTCATTAGATGGGGAGTTTTTTGGTAGGGGCACACATACTATGACTTTTATCTAGGTAGCCCTAGGATCCACATAAGAGATATTCATTATAGTAAACATTTATGGAACAATTATAAATTCTCTGCTTTCCAGCTCAAGACTGCTTTTACCTAAGTTTAAGTTGTTGTGAGGAGCAAATACACAGTAGATATAAGAATGTCATAAACATTAATGGGCACATTACAAAGATACTTTATATTATTCTCTCAAGGTGGAGTAATTAAAGGTGAAGTAAACTAGAATAAGAAGCCAAAGAAATTAGTTTCTCACACACACACACACACACACACACACACACACACACACACACACACACGAAGGCTCACAGTCATTTTAAAAAAACATCCCTCAAGATTCCATACCCCTCAGACCCAAACATGTCGAAGTGGCTAAAAATAAGGAGGAAAAGTAAAACTGAAATGGACTTGAACAGCCTTTAGTGACATCCTAGTTCAGTTCAAACATATAAAAAACAAACAAAAACACCAAAAAAGAATGCATATCTTAGAAGGCTAGAAAGAAGCAGACAGAGCAAAGAATATATATAGATTTAACTACAGATAATGTTACTAATGACCTCAATCCCAGAGGACACTGGCCTAAAGTGGATAGTTGTCCTGCTAGCCCTGGTTTAGGAATAGCTGTCACTCTAGATGGAAAAGAATGTGCTGTTATTATCTGCACCTGTGAAGATTTACAGCTCTGAAAGTCCTAAGGAAGGTCCCTATGAGCCAGAACTGACTGTCACGGTTAGTTTCCTGACATCCATTTAACAGATGAACCCACAATCCCAGAGTAACCCACATTCTCAATTGGCCTGAAAAGCACATTTTGCTTGGGGTAGGAGATGACCAGCAGTTTGCTCCTCTCAGCTGAGTTATCTGCTTGCAGGGTGTGTCCCTTCGAAAGTCTGTTTATGCTGGTTGTGCATGACACTGTAATTAAGGAACTACTGAAATATGAATAAAAGAGGGAGTTGTTGCTATGAATTCCATGCTGAATATTTTTAAAAGATTTATGAAAGACAGTAGCTAAATCCTAGGTCTGTTACTCAAATATAGAAAAAACTCTAAAAAGATAAATAAATTAAGAGAATCTGAAGACCTTACACTTAGATCATCTTAGAACTTTAAAGAAATAGGTCGGGTCTAGAATTTATAAGCAATGCCTTATGGGTGAGGTTCGTGCAAGGAAACAAAGTAGAACTCTTTATATATAAATATAAACAAATAAATAAATAAATAAATATATTAGTCATTTTATTAAGGACTCATACAACTCTTATCATAATCATACATACACCAATTGTGTAAAGCACATTTGTACATTCATTGCCCTCAGCATTCTCAAAACATTTCCTCTCCACTTAAGCCCCCGG